ACACAGGTATCCCATTTTAATGTCCCACCTCAAATAATTTTTATTTTTGACTTTAGGAAAAAATGTTTCAGACAAAAGTTGTATGACTTTGAGGAGGACATAAGATGATGTCATTAGTTTGATTTTGAATAGTTGATTGAAGGTCACGTGAAGGTTACCTCCAATTTCTTAAATGGAATCTCCTATTTTTTATTGTACATTTTTGTAGATTATCTTGAGAACTTTCCAAAACACTATAATTAAATTCATTTTCATTAAGTACTTTTCGAATTATAAGGCTTGCAAGTTACAGCATCACCGGCATTAGCATTATCCAAGGTGTCCGACCGACGACTAAAACTTCTTGAATGTTGTTCAGGATTATGACTTGGATAACATTTGTTAAGATCAAAGCCATTGAAAGTTGTATCTCTTATTTTCATTTTTACACTAAAAATTACATTTCTACGTAAAAATGAAAATAAGAAATACAATCTCCAATGACCTTAATCTTGACAAAAGTTATATTAACTTTTGTCTGAAATATTTTTTCCTAAAATTAAAAGTAAAAGTTATTTAGGGTAGGACATTATCCCATAAAATGGGACTTGTATAGTCTGACTATACTGTATATATAAAATTGCAACACTTAACATAAATACATAGTGTAATAATTAGCCTACACGAATAAAACAAATTATTATAAAAAATAAAATTGTGAAACATAAAATTATTCCAAATTATATTATTTAAAAATTAGAAAAATATCCCAAAGTCACTAGGACTCGTATGTCCCAGTTACGGGTTAAGTATATCTGGAGAACTGGAAAATAAACATCTTAAATTCCTTTCTTCTGGAATGGATTAATTTCAATTTTTTAAGACATATCTATACAAAACGTACTTTAGGATAAGTTCTGAATGCACCAAGGCAAACTTTGCCAGCGGAGATAGTTCTCACTGGATCGATGACAATTGCAACAAATGGTTCTTGGAAATTTTGATTAAGCATCTGGGTGGATACGTCGATACCAGACAACCAACAACCATATCCAGGATGACTGTGATACCATCCGATCGCATTCTCTAATCTACCAACCTAAAGAAGAAATTATCAGAAGCTAGATTATTGTCATGTATTTAAAAAGTAGTTTTTGTTACAAAATATATGTATGTACTTGTTTAGCTGCTTCTATATATGCTGTCATGTACTCGTAAGCTTGAGCTTGAGCATTTACTCTAGTTTCGGTCCCTTCGACTGGCAATGCAAAGGAATCCATTACAATCATCGTGTTTGCTGCTACTTTACCAAGCAGGAGGCCCATTACTTCTAGCGTTCCACCAGATCGTGCATGCATAACCATTTTTAACAGAGCTAATGCAGATATTTTTATGTCCTTGAAGAAATGGGGGCTGCAAGTAAGAAAAAGTACTGGTTATAGTTAATGCTTTTGATTCTCGCGGAATATGTAGATTAATAGTATTCTTTTTCTCTCCCATACTCTTTCTCCCATGGTTTGGCAGTTAATATATCTTGTTGTTCCTTCCTGTCGTATCTATAAATCTCATCCATAGTGCTGATAGTTTCGATGCAATTTGACAACTCCCATGTCTTTTGGGCAATATTACTCTGATCAGATGACGGACCAGCCATTCTGTCAAAAAGAATAATAACAATAAGAAGAAAGAGGGATAATAAAAGTATATAGTCTGTATTCCATCATAATATTAAATACTTAGCACAAGTGTGAGTCATATAAATTATACCAATTACAAGAAAAATAACGTTAAATAAGAAATCGTTATGTATTGTAATATTAGTCCGTTAAAATATATGGTAATTATTTAGAATACCCTCCCTCCTCCCACTAAAATCTTAATAAAAATATATTCATTCAAAGCGTTTTAACTCAAAACAAAAGAATCTGGCAGGAAAACGCGGCGATCGGCCTCATGAATTGAGTTATTAAGTGTTAAAGTTGGAAAC